AAATGCATTAACAGGACATTTCCCACCAAAAATACACATAAAACCAACAGAATGTAATATTTTACCATTTGATAGACATCAACCTTTTAAAGAAACTTTAAAACAAAAGCTTTCAGAAATTGAAACACTACAAGTGAATGTAACTAATTCAAAGAAACGAAATATTTCAAAACATATTATACCTTGCGTTATCAATGAAATGGATAGTAAAGATTTAGACAATTATCATAAATTCCTATGTTCACTAATTTATGATGAAGAGAAAAGATCGAATTCAGTAGTACATTGGTTCATACCAATAATGTCGTCATGTCTACTACCTTTACCCATGAAACAAAGGAAATTACCTCATATCAAATTACCACATTTATGTTTAAAGTTACCTTATGAAAAAATAGAACATGATGGTGATGACTATGGGGAAGAAGAACGTGAGATGCTAACTAAAAATTCTTTTCGTATTTCAGATGATTTATCAACTGAATTCATGTTAACCCCATAGAATGACTGATGACATTAAATATACAAAACAAAATTGCTTGAATTTATTTAGAAAGTTATATTTCCTCCATTTGATATTAGTTTTATACTCTCATTTGAGCAATAATTTTGGTAGCTAAATGATTTAAACAGTATTCCTGTAAATTTTGAAGTCCTCAGATTTTGAATCAACCTTCTTGAATGACTTTTTTGAATCAGATCTGTAGGATAGAACATATAAATTGTCAAAGACAAGCGGTATAATTCAACAAGCTGATACATCTTCGTTATTTTATACCTTCAAACGTCTTTGTTGTTTTGTATCATTTTGTTCTTCATTATGTTTAACATTTTCTCTAAAGATCATGCCAATAGTCACAAAACTATCCGGATTATGTAACTGAGTGTCTGACAAACATGTACTTTAGCCACAAAGTTGTTAAATTCCTAGTTGAATATTTAGTGTAAGATTGGTTCGAATCGGCTTTCTAAAATACCAACCATAGCTGCTAAGTTCGTTCCGCGGTCGTGCTGATTTATCATGATAGCATAAGTAAGCTACATTAGTTGGAATACTCATTTCTTAAGGTTCTATATTATAATGTATCTAGTAGCCAACTATAGATCCTAGGGTGAAGTCGTGCGGCCAGGTGTATCAAGGTATGGTACAGTAAAGTAACAGTAACCAGAGTGAGTTATAAATAGGACAACTGGTTCAGTATAGGAACTAGTTTCACCTAGTTTGTTTCTACAACTAATATATATAAATTATATTTGTTAGAATATTAGTATAGTGAGTTGTTACCAGAAAATTGCATAGTTCTAAGCAAATATCTATGGAATAAGGGATTTATGAAACATGAGAAAATTATAATCATCATCGTAAGCAAAACAAATGTGAGCAACCTGGGGCTTCAGGAAAAAGCGTGTAGTACGAATGATGATGAAGAATTCTCACTGAAAACATTAATAATAATAATAATAATAATAATAATATGAAAACAGTTTAGAAAATGTAAGAACAGAATTCGACAAAATCAGGGCAGTAGTAAAGGATGGGATATAATGAAGTGTTCTTGAGCACATATTTCTTACCAAACATTGCAAACACCGGAAGGCTCTACAAATTAAAGTTTAAACCCCTTAGGATGCAGAACATAATCTGGTAAATGCTATCAAAAGATGAATCTTTCTCCAAATATCTTGAATCTCCTATATACCCCAAAAAGTCGAACCCAATTTGTCCATGGCATTTTCTGAAGATAATAAAATAATTTGTTAGTTAAATTTATTTACGTTAACAGCGCTGTTGAGAATGATTGTTATCAACCTTTATTTCTTATCGTATATAGAATTCACCAGAGAATTATTAGTTTTACAAATAAATTTTTTTCTGAATAACAAAATATATTTAAATTGTCACTAACAAGTATGATATTTTAATGTTTTTGTAATACGTAGAAAATCTTACTCTCCATATGATCACGTCGAACTGGGATTTGATTCACTCCAGTAATCTTTTCAGTGATCTACAACTAACAATATTTCGATAATGTATATGAAGACGAAGATTATCAGAACTATGTAATATATTAGTGCAATACATTTCGAACAATCTGATCACACATAGACTTGTTAAGAGCATTTATATATAAAAATAAAAAGTCAACTAGACTGGAAACGGGGTAAGAGGAGATAAGGATAATGATAAGAGTAATAATAATAATAATGTGAAAACAAATCACACTGGATAATAAGTCAATATTACCAGGGTAGGTTTAAGGTAGGTTGCAGAAACAAATACAATCAAGTGACCCACTAAGAGCAGAGGATAAACATCCATCGTCCTCTATTGCTAAACATATAATTGAAACAGGTCATAAGATTGATCTAAACTCGGCTTTTGTGGTGTTTTATGAAAGCGCAAAAGGGCATATACTAAGGTTTATTGAAGCCTTAGCCATACGAAAATTCAAACCCCCTTTGTGTGTTCAAAAACCGTCTGTTCTTACCTTAAACCTACCCTGGTAATATTGACTTATTATCCAGGGTGATTGGGTTTTGAATTGTGTTCACATTATTATTATTACTCTTAACATTATTCTTATCTCCTCTTACCCCGTTTCCAGCCTAGTTGGCCTTTTATTTTTTATATCTAAATGTTCTTAACAAGTATATGTGTGATCAGATTGTTCGAAATGTGTTGCGCTAATATATCACACAGTTCTGATAATCTTGGTCTTCTCATTACACTATCGAAATTTATCAAAGGGGCTAATTGTCTTAAACCAACAATATATAAAGGCATATTCTTTCATATTTGGATTTCTATTGCAGTTTGAATCAACTATTATCGATCACTTCATCTGTTGTTAATTTCCTTTCTAGTTGATGATATGAGATGTGGCGCATTTTACTCTGATTATGAACAACTAGTGTACCGATAAGAAGCTTTGTATACAAATGATTATGCGTAACTGGTCAATTTACTGTACTTTCAAAAGAACACCTAAACAAAGACCTCCTATTGATTTTCAGCAAATACTACAAATGTCCGTGCTTTGACAACTCATATCGACTGGTATTATTTACCATGTGCTGAAAAGTTAGCTACAAGGAAAAATAATGATTGTCCGAAACGAAAGCACGTATAGTGGCTCACTAAATTGGCTAGCTAGGAGCCCCGAATCCAAAACATTAGTTCATGAGGGTATTAAATGTTGGTGTGAGCCATGTTGGTAGATGTAGATTACCTGGAGGGATTCACACGACCGTCTTGACTAGTTGTTGGAGACGTTTGGCAACACGGTTCAAAAATGGTCGCGATGGAGCAGATGCGTTCACTACTTCTCTTGCCTTAACACGTGAGTTTAAAAATACTTTACACACTTTACTTTACGACTTTGTTCTTTCTTCTCGAATCTTATTACTCATCTCTGATCCTTTTTTACTACCACTTGCACTACACTAGAATTCATTTCGCCAATTTTATCTTGTATGAAGGTGTGGTAACTTCGGCCGAAGGACATTTAAACCGGGCTCTTGAGTTGTTTATTGGTTGACTGATTAGCTTTTCAATTATAAGTAACTTAAATTTAAACGGCAATGAACAATCAGTCAGTTATTTTAGATTGGTTAGAACACACTTAGGTTATAAATATACGGGTATTATATGTTACATAGTTATAGAGGATCGGCAGAAAATACTTAACCTTGGTTTCATGTTAGTGAGCACTTGTCAGTGAGGCGTATCTACAATCTTGAGAAGAGTGGTCCTCCTCATAGGATTCGAACTAGCGTCACATGGTTCTAAATCCATAGTATTTTACAGTTTTAATTTTCTTCTTGATATAAAGGTTCATATTCCGATGAGTTCACGTGAATCAGTCAAACAAGAAAATTTAATAATGAACCTTAGTATGTAACATAAACTGTTGATTGTGAATTCCGAACCTGAAATAAATTTACCCACTGCATTTAAGGTGATTAAAACAATATGAAGGATCAATCATTGATTCATATCTTATTATACTGATTATAACATTAATTTACAGATAATCCTGTATAAAGTAATGAAAGAGTACTGATATTTCCCCTTTAATCATTCGAGCAATCATCACGCATAGCTGAAGCAATAATCTAAAAGCCATGCGCTATATACAGAGTGGATCTGTGAAAGGATTATAATATTTCGATAGAGATCAGTGTTAACCACTTTATTCATCTACATTGTATTTTAAATAGAAAATTCCTATTTCAACAGAAAAGCTTTTTGGGAGGATATTGTGAAGTTGATGTATTCTCTGAGCTGGATCGTTATGTCGTTCGGCTCTAATTGTTCTCTTGAACAATATTGACACATACAACGATAATACTGATGTCGAGAACATCAATGAAAGTTTCGCAATCAAATCATTCAGCTCAGAGAGCACAGCACTTGCAAAACCCACTTCCTGGACTACAAATATTCTGCATCATTTAAGAGGATGTTATTTACAATAAAGCTTGAAATTACATTTGGATATAATCTCCTTAAACGGATGCTAACAGACTGATTGAGTTCAGTATTGAAAATAAACGACAGAAAAATATAAACATTTACAACTAGCAATATATATCATGTGAGCTGAACAAGGTACTAGATTAGTCAATCACTATCAACGTAAAATCTGACAAGAGTTTGCTTCGTTTCAGGTTACCATACCTAATGTCAGCATAGTGAGAGTAAAACAAAGTGAAAAATAAAGAAGGGAGAATAATATCCAAACCATAAAAATATTAACGCGAACAGTAAAGTTCTAAAGAAATAAATCATAAACACATAACATTGATACTTAGCTCGTAATTTAAAGGAAGATAGACAACAAATGCAACTGCGCCACTGTGATCAACTTCAGGCTAGATCACTCAATATCTCCGACAAAATTAGCAGCTATCAAGATTCAGTAGCCTTATGAGTAACTTTGACATTTGAAATGATAGGTACTAGATTTTTAGTCTCAATATGAAGATCAACACGCGCATTCGGCTGCCAACCATTATCCTATGTATAATAAACAGTGCAGAATTTGCAAAACTATTAATAAGGAGAAATAATAAAAAAGTTAACGATCTAAATCTGTCTTATTAAAAAATCTTCAGATTAAGAGGAACATTTATAATAAAGACATTATAAGACAAACACTGAATTTACAATTAGTGAAAACCTAATGAGACTAATATAAACTCAATTAAAATACTAAAATAATGTTGGTATGATTCAGAAACAATATCCTTGTGATTGACGTAATACTTCATTCAACAACAAAAACAAGCGCACATGAAAATATTTTACGTTATTGTGTTGTTTCCATTTGTTCTTTTTTGTTATTTTATTGTAAAAACAGCAATCATGTGAATACTTAGAAGAAAAAAGGGCTAATACTTGTAATAAAGCATTAAAAGCTTCAAGTGATTTTTTCTACATAACTTTCAAGCTAAGAACCAGCAAATTTATGTTAGTGGTATATTTCTATCAAATAATTCAGTTAACAAGTTAAAATGTACCCAAACAACATAATCGTTACAATGTTTCTTTCGTGCGTTTTGTATATTCAATTCATTTAAAGATTGAATTGGTTAGTTTTAAATAGAATAGTTAGGCATAACTAGAAGTATACAACCTAAAGACTGTAACAAAATTAAGTATGCAGTTTTTTTGAATGCATTCAATTTTAATGATGTATGATTGTAATTGAGAGGAAAATATTAACTTTTGAAGATATCACATTCACATATGTATATGTTATAATTGTGTGATTTCGATTGTCTTGCCAGAAAACAACCTCTTTTGGTAGTTTACAGCTCAAAGAACGAAGATCTATCGAAATTGTCTATCTGAGGTACAAAACTTCTGCACCATCTTAGGAAACAAAATCATCGGAATAAATTCCAAGGGTGAAAGATCAGTTAGACAATTATTTACAAATTACTAGATCTTTCTATCGACAGAGTTCCCACTTGGAAATAGTTTAATTGCTTAGTGTATTCAGCTTTCAATAGTTAGGTCGAAGGTAAGGACTCTGCTCCACCTAATTCGATTTAAACAGTAGGTACCATTACTAACCTTGATGACTAGGTATGTCTCAAATCCTGGTATACATCCCTGTGTTTAATCACTGAGTAATATGATTACTCCTCTGGACAAATCTGTCTTCTGAACCACATCAAATAAACTAATTTAAAACAACACAGAATTCCAAAATATAAGTATGGTTATTAACAAGAATAATTGTCAATGAAAGTCGAAATCATGAGAACTCACTATACCATGTTCATATGAGTTTTCATTGCTACATGATGTGCTGTGTAAAATGAATTAATTTAGAGAATTCCGTCCAACTATATTATATATTGAAATATTAATAAGAAGACAGTGACTATCCTTCAGTACAAAATCTGAAAAAAGTAATGTCAGTCAAAATTAACTTAATACCTGTCTTTGTCCAGAAAATTTTTATGCTGTGATTAAATTGCTCAGAACGGATAAGAAGTTTACAGTTGTAGCATACGGTCAAAATGACATGGTATGGACACGGAATTATACGAAAAGCCTATTCTTAGTGGAGATCGTATTCTAAATCTTGTTTAGTGACAATTCTTTTATTTTTCTTTTGTTTAACGTGAACTCGCAACTAAACTATATGATTAATAATCTACCAAATAATAAGCATTTTTTCGTACAAATTTCCCGAGTTTCACTCACATAATTTTTAGATTGTTGTTTCATAATGTCAGTGAATCTGTACTCAGATATTTTAAAAAGTACGAAAGTTCGAGTATACTCACTGGTGAAACATCTGGAAGGTCACCATCAACCTCGCTGAAGTACAGCAGTTCAGTATAATTCCAGTAAGTAATCGCTAGATTTAAACTTTTTTAGTTTCCTCACTCCCATGATTTCCAATTTATTTCAAGCTACATTGGATGAAATAAATTCACAGAATATTCAACAAATTGTCAGTTGTTTTTTTGTCTATAGATTAATACAAAGTCTGTCAATGTTATCCTTTTAATGTATAGTAATTCTGATTTAACATGCCTAATATCTTATTATATATAATTATTGCAATATTCATCCATAAAAATTTAGCAAAAATTATAGTCGTTACCGGCAAATAGTGTTTTGACTGTTTCATTAACTTTCATACTTCATGAGCATACATTAGATTTTCGTCTGATCAATGTGCACATTTCTAAAAGCTTGAGTTCTATAATAGCTTATCGTTAAGATTTTCAAAATAATTGATTGTATGACTGTCTAGGGAGCATAGTAGATTTGCCCATAACATTCTGGTGAATCCATTAGTAGGATGACCCAAAATTAGCATAACTTCAAAAGAATCCAGTCTATTTATTAGAATCGAATAATATTAATTCGTTTGGACATTTTTGTTTAATCAAATAAATCATGCCAGTTAATCATAATCAACATAGAATTGGACATAAAAGTGTGTTACCCCCAGTATGGGTACCAAATCAGTACAACGTAATAAAATTACCAAGAAAATAGTAGAGGAAAAATATTCGATGGAATTGTTTTGAATAACTTCATCATCAGGACTGTTTCCAGTCTATAATTATATTTTAAAAAGGTCAGATTAAGGTATACATTATTGAATTTGACAATTTACAACAATTAGTCCCTTTGATAAATTTCGATAAAGCAATGACAAACTTCGTCTTCCAATTGCATTATCGGAATTTGACAATGTTATATGTTAAGAATGGTGAGCGTTTGCATCTGTTACGACATAAATATCCCAAAGTTGTGTTATTTGTAAATTAGAAAGGTCATTTGATAACTCTCAGAATGATTTGTAGCAAAGTGTCAAGTCATAATCAAAATAATGGTAATATAACAAAATCAACAAATCATGTGAGTAAAATGCATCGTAGGAGAATTTCGTCTTATCAATCGAGGTAATAGTAATTTCGTTGTGTGTAATAAGAGGAGTGTTATCAAAGTAATTACGATAAAAAAGAATTCATGTGAACTGGGAAAGATGAGTGTGAAGATTAAGATATAAACACGAAAGGAATTGGGAGGGGCGACAAGCGGTTTATAATATCCAGTTTAGGTATCCGGTGATCCAGTCGTGGGCCAAGGTAAATATAAAGGCTGTATACGTAGAAGGGCCGTAATCTAGCTCCTTCAGGTAGATTCTTTGGAAATTGACATAAAGCCTCATCTATCTTCGCATGATGTTCACTACCTACTAAGTGAGAAAGAATGGTACTATTAATTGATTTAGTGATTCCTCTTCCCAACCATGCTTGTACATGTTCACGAACACTCAAGGATAAGGCCATCTGAGTACGGCCTATGTAACTGGCTCTACAGGAGCAGTTGAATCGGTATACCCACATGAAGGAGCCCATCATCGGTAAGCTATCCTTAATTTTTTGTGTAAGTACTTGTTTGATTGAGAAAATTGTATGTAACTTGGCGGCGTAAAACGTCAATGTTTTAAAATGTCACCCACTATGTCTCCTTTAAAACTCAGTTTGAGTCAGGTTTCTTTTACTGACCGTGTCACAGCTTTTTTTAATACCTAGTAGAATTTTTATGACGAAATCATTTCGAAATGTGCTTTTCAGGTTATCGGTTTCATAATCTACACAATTTTCAGAACATAGGAGTTTGATTCTGTCTATTTTGTATTAAAGAGGTGTAAAGCTATGGTAATGGGTATACTGACCTTTCCATCTATTCTCTATAAATACATTTCCTTTTATGAGACCGTCTATCATTCTAGAAATTAGGACATCACGGAAAGCTATGCTATTGTCGTTCTCCTCTTCGATGGTGAATTTAATAGCTGGGTGAACGTCATCGAGACTGTTCAACAGCTCTTGTTTGTCGATACTCTCGTCACACACGATTAGTGTGTGGTTACTTTCCCTACTTGTATTTATGTAAGGTGGAATCCACAGTAACCGACGAACCTTCAACATCATACGAAAGATGGAGCATCAGCTTTGCATCGGTCTCAGGTGTAACTATATTTGAGTCTAATGGAGTCACCATTCTACAAATAGAATAAAGAAATCCAAGTCAACAAATTATTTCACAGACATCAGACGATAAGGGGACGAAACAGATGCAAAAGAAGCAGCCAGTTTTCCTAATTGTACTGAGGAATGTACTAAAGCTCCGTTTTTTGAAGATGTCAAGATGAACAATGAGATAGAAAAGTGGCATAGAAGCTTTAGCCAACTCATCGGAGCTTCTCATCCGAACACAGAAATTCACTGTTACTCTAAAACAGAAACAATCTAGATGAATGAAAAACCGAGTAGTTTGTTGCAAGGATTCAGAAAAGCCATGAAAAAACCAAGTAAAAGAAGTTAGCGACACGCATGAAACTAGGTGCGGATTACGGAAATAGATCGATACTAGAGTGCTTAGCCGAATAGTATAATTCGATTTTGCACATTTAGATATATCAAACGTTTTTATAAAAAGTTAAAAATCTGAAATTTACATCTATATTACGTCAGTAAATCGTCCTTTCGATGTCCGAACATGATATACACTTGATCAGTCAATATATAAGCGATATTATTTTAGTATAGTACTAAATGGCCCCTTTGAATTCATCTTTTAATTGCTCCGTGCCCTTATTGGAGGATACCTCAAGAAATATTGTAAATATTCCAGTTGGTTTGAACTTGCACGTTTATTTACTGACATACTAATCGAAGGTATAAACAGAAAGCATAAATTAGAGTACTACCACATTCATTACAAAAATAATTGGTGAATTATTGCAATAAAGTTGATTATAGAATGCTACGTCAACTTGTTAATTCCGTACTAATTGTGACGATACGGTGACTACAATGCAACAACAATGAATTTACTAATCTACGTTTGTAATCATTCGTGTTACAATGAAAACTGATCAGTCAAATACGGGAGCAACTGAGGCGCGCGAATAGACAAATATACCCACACGTCCTGGTCGAATCAGTCACAAACAGTAGGACCACTATCTGACTAAGAATTAGTCCTTATTCATGTAAGTATACGTATAATCAGTCAGTAGGGTATAACTGAGGGAACAAGAGTTCGTAAAACAATGACTCTATAGTCCTGTATACCACTATACGTAGATACCGATTACTCCCGCTAGAATAAAAAATAAACAGAGTATGCCAACCGTAATCAAGAGTTCTAATTTCATTTAGAAATATAACAACTAATGAGTTACTTTCTTAAATTACCTGTATTCCTTGATTTAAAAAAGGCAAAATACACACTACAGTGTAGAAATTAATCAACCATAACCAATTTGTAGATGACCTTTATCGATTCACTCACTATAAACGAACGTAATTGAATACAGTGAGAATAGAACAAAGTGATACAATATAAGTATAGATTCGATTACTTTATTTGATTAGAAAATAATTATGTATGTATATGTAAATTATCAACTAAGGAAACAAAATATAGACTTACATATCATGCAGTCATTTTTTTTAAAAAATAGAGGTTCATTTTAAAAATACAGCAGAGATCAAGCATAATGATGTGTAGTGAAGTTGAAAACAAAACAAAAACATCTGTATCAACATATGAGAACAAAATTTATCACTTTTTTTTAAGTTTTTCAAAGCGTTCCGCCAGAGTGTCGAAATCTGCTTTTTCATCATCCGGAGGGGGATTACTAGGTCCATTCATTGGTGGAATCATAGCGAAGCTACCTGGAGGAAGTGTTGTGAAACTATCTTGAGGTGGTAGAAACGAAGGACCAGGGTAATTAAATGGTACGACAGTATTTTGACCATTGCATACAGACATATCATATGGCGGTGGCATAACTGTATCGCCATTGGTTGCTAAAACAACAAATGAATACTGCATGATTGTATATATATGTATATCTATCTATCTATCTATCTATCTATCTATATATATATATATATATATATACATATATATATATACATATATTTCTGATAGTGTAGTGAAGAACACAGGTGAGGACAACCGGATTATATTTAGCACAAATTTACATTCCTGACACGCGTTATATACTACTTATGTCAATATAAGTAGCACGAACCACAATAGTAGCTCCAATTATTTTTGAAGTTTTATCAGCCCATGGAAACCAGTAGACAACAAAACGCCAACTTGAGAAATCTGAGATAAATATTACATAGCCTACTAAAGAAAAAAACTTGTTTAGCCTAGAACTAATCAAGTGCGTATTAGAGTCCCTACTGAGGGGGGACTCTATCAACCAAAGGACGTGTTTACTGCGCAGCAGTTCGTTCCGTCCTACTTTATGGCAGTGAAACATGGCCGGCAAGAGTAGAGGATATTCGTAGGTTACTAGTATTTGATCATACGTGTCTTCGAAACATTGTTCGTATATCCTGGGACCATCGAGTAAGTAACGCAGTTGTTAGGAAACGGGTTCTAGGTAAGGATGGAAAATCGATTGATGAAGTGGCGAAACTTCATCAGTTGAGATGGCTGGGACACGTGTTACGTATGCCCAATCACCGAATGCCTCGATGTGCGATGTTCAGTGGTATAGGAGTAGGTTGGAAGAAAGCTAGGGACGGCCAGACCAAAACATGGCACAAGTCCATGAAGTCACTGACAAGTGGACTGAGTCATGTTGATAGGTGTAGACTACCTGGTTGGGGACCGCGAGATGATAGCAACCGATGGTTAGAGACCCTGAATGACATGGCTCAAAATCTTTTGCAATGGCGCAGGTGCATACACTCTTTGTGTTATCCCAAATTTTGATCTCCTTATTCCTCCTTGTCTCTTTTTTTCTCTTCCCAAATTTATTTCACTGTATTATACTCTTTAAATAGCATCTCCAAACACTAATTTTCCCGATTACTGCTTATACTCTTATTACCTCCACCACTACGGGATTTGAATCGACCACTGCATCTGTGCTAACGTGGTGTGGCAACTCGAACTGATGTACGTACGTACGAAGTTCTACGTTGTTGCTGACTGACTGACTGACTGAGAGTCCCTATTGTATGCATGATTGAACCATCGAGTGATTAATGCTACATATTAACTTATCATTATATCCGAAACTTATAAGAGTAACAACTGCAACTAGCTGGATAAACAATAAAATGGCCAGAAATTAAATCTAGTCAGTGCCTTAAAATGATAGGCAGGTGATGAGTGATTGATACTTAACTTCATAAATGAAATACGCCAAGAGAATGTTGACCCGATAGGAAAAGTTTTAGAGGCACATTAATATTTGGAAAATTGAATAACTAAGGCGGAAAGAACTTCGACAAAATCCATGAACAAAAAGATACCCACTTATAGGAGCTATCAATTCAACAGTGAAGGATAAAACACTGAACGTAAACCAAGATTTATCACCCGTTTGAGTGGTAGCTAGTTATAAAATAATGACAAAAAGAATAATTGATGAAACAGATCAGTGAACTCGGTTTAGTAGACCATTTTGTATGGAAGCTACTAATGCTACCCAACTGCTCAAACTGAAGATAGAGTGGGACTCCAACTTGTGGTTGAAAGCCAGTCGCTTCAACCACTAAGCAACAGGTTCATAATAAAAAGATAGGATCGACAAAATATATGAGATATTCATCATCGGAATGCGGACCAGCAGAAACAAAGACATTCCACTCCTACACTCTCAACAATGCTCAGTAACAGAGGCACGGTGACTAAAGAATAGAGAACGGATAGATTTACAGAAAAACAATCAATAAATGGAAATGAAATACTGTGATCGACTTTGATGCAGATCATCCAAAGTTTGTAATAAAGTGGATGACAATAAACAAACTACAGAATATAAAATAGGATTTTTCAGAGAGGAAATTGTTTAAAATATAAAAAAAACAATGTATCATGGATAAAATTTTAAATCCTTAAAAAAATATCAGTAAGAAAAGATACGTTCAATACAGATCAGTCCATAAATGAGAACATAAAGTAGTCATACATATAAGTCGCACGAAATGAACGTTCAGTAATTTCGTCAAAGGTTGTAACACACTCCTACAGTTAGTATTGTTTCATTACTATATTCTGTACTATTAGGGTCATTCTAAATGTAGTACCACAATCTCAAGGTGTAATAAAAGTAGGATATTATAGATTGGGGCAAATTTGTAAGGTAAGCAGTATGTTAATGCGTTGTATTTATTTATTTGGACATATAAATCTTGGTACAAAAGGGTACCGAATGCATATGCGCCACAAAAGTCACTTGATTTATGTCTGGGCTGTGATACTACCCGGATGCCCAGACCGAAGTGGGTGGTTTTCTTAGGGAGCCACGCCCAGAGCCTTCGACATAAAGATCTGATCCACATGGCAGTGGAGCAACGTCAGAAGATGCAGTCTCATAGCAGCCGGTGACCAACAATTGGTTCATACCTCATCAGTTGATGAGGTCATGAATCTTCATCGACTGAGATGGTTGGGCCACGTGTTACGTATGCCTGAACACCGACTACCACGACGTACAACGCTATCCGGTATTGGAGATGGTTGGAAGAAAGTTAGGGGCGGCCAGACCAAAACGTGGCATCAGTGCTTGAAGACACTAAATTCTAGTCTGAGCCATGTTGGTAGATGCAGACTACTTGGTTGGGGTCCGCGTGACTTTCGTAACCAATGGTTGGAGACTCTTGGTGACATGGCTCAGAATCGATCACAATGGCATCGGTGTATACACTCCCTGTCTTCCCTTAAACTAAGAGATTAAAATCACTTCATACCTTTCTTTCTACGAACCAATTCTTTCTTCTTGTACTATATCTCTATATGCAATCTTTCTCTTATATATTACCACCCTTGACCTAACCACTGCTATGAATCCGGTGTTCATCTTGTTGTGCTGATGCGGTATGGCAACCTGGACCGATGCACATATGTGCCTGGTCCTACGTTGTAGCTGACTGACTGACTGACCTCATTTGTTCGCTCAGGATCCTGGAGCCTATGTGCACCATTGATTTGGAATCAGGGTTTTCCAACTCCCCCAGGTGGGTCCTCAATATCCACCAACCCGGTTAGAGTCCAGGACATTCGCTTTTCATCCTCTCAATTTCGTAAACAACACCCCTACCGCAAGAAGACAGTGAGTAGGACTTCCCTGACAGTGGTTGTATGCACGTGGCCACTCTCGGCCGCACCAGGGCATTTTAAAGTTGTTATTTAGTGGGACCCTTTATTTTGACGTCAATTACATAGGACGATGTTATCGACTCGAGTTGGATCATTTCTGTTAGTTATCGAAGTATACATATCGCCAATTCCCGTATAGCTATCGACTTAATCCGTGTTAGTGAATAACCGGATTAAATAAGCCAAATATGATAATGGATTTTTGAATATGTATATTTTGTACACTCATTAATTTGAACAATCAGAGGAATGAAGCGAAATGATGTGCAGTGGAGATGATGTGTGAGCCAACTAGATTTAACCAAGCGTTAATCAATAAGCTACAGATATGTGATAAGTAAGATAAAAAGTACACACACATACACCTATATAAAAAACAGTCAGGGTTGATCAGTACATAATTAACAAGGTCAAAACTTGACTCAAGAAGAATAGATAAATTGGCCTGTTCATAAGCTAGAATAAGTTATGTGGGCTACACTACAGTTTTACTAACACTTAGAAAATCTGAACACCATTAACAATATGAAGAGCAATTGAATAACACAGAATGACTACGAAAATATCAATTGTTAGTTTTTAAAAATATAAATTTACTTAAGGGAAAAACATGAAGGGGACGTACTGGTTGTGTTTGAGGGCATTGTTTCATTTGACGGGATGCCTGATGGAATCTTAGTTTCATTGATAAATTCCGTAGGATAAGGAGCTTTATCGGACATCGATGTAGTTGCCCATGGCATGCTGCATGCTCCAAAGTTGGATGGCATACTAGGTAACCCAACAGAACTATCAGGTTTGAATTCAATCAAGTTATCGTTGAACATTAGATTAGAGTCGCAAATGACATGTGTGTCGGGAGTGAAACTAACATCATAACTTTTCGCGATTTCAACCTGGTATTGTGTATGGAAAGGGAGATGCTTATAAACTTCATAAAAACACTATGAGGCAAAATATGATAAGATAAAAGGGATCTATGAAAACAATTATAGATAACCACAATAGTCAGACTTATTTTAATTCATAAAGTGTATTACTGGCTTTCTTTTCGGCTGAAAAGCAGTGATAAATTGAACGCCTGATGACGACGAGAGCTAAGAATTAAACCATCAATATGAAAGACTGGATGAAATAAGATATTTTAAGAAACGAACTTATATCAACCTCAAGGGAAAGATGAAAAGACAGTAGGGTGACTTAGAAAAAGAATTCCTCGATTTTAATGAATGAAGACAATATTGTCTAGTGGATGAAATGTGTTTGGTCCAAACTCCCGAACAAACTGATGACAAAGACAAAAACACTACCCAGAAGAAACTTTTTATCCAATAAAATAACATGCTAATTTTAAATCATTATCTATACAACAGCATTGAACTACCAGTTTTGATCTCACTGATTTCGCATTTGGAATATTCCTTTGTTTCTCATATTCTCATGAATTTATTCATATTTGTTACTGATGTCACTAAATTGTGCTAAACTATTCTAATACCTTCAGTAATTGCGACAAAAACGTTTAATCTATCACACCTCTTACAGAAGCCAAACAAACCTCTATCACTATTCACATTATATAACCTAGTATTACAATCTATTTGGTTATGCTTACTGTTTATATTTTCTCAGGGAATTAATGCTTGAAATTCCATATATTAACATATATACAATCGCTGAATTTCCTATTTTTAGAAGCCGAAGCCTCAAAAACATTAGGAGACAAGTTCGAGAATACTACCTAATATCATTAAAATAGCACTAATTGTGTAGAAGCCAAAATTCCTTCTGAAACTGTAAAAACAAGTGGATATGGGAACATTAAGTGGATGATTAAATGTATCCAGACTGTTATCACTAGGGAATAAAGATTCCTTCTGACGAACTTTCTGATATCTGGAATCCTGGACAACTAAACTATCTAGAACTAGTTATCATGAACTTCTCTAAACAGAAATTGGATGATTATGGCTTAGGGATCATAGGCTATGTTGTAAAGACCATTGCTTAACACTTTGGTTGTACTTTCTATCCCCTTTTTGCCTCTGCGATAATATTTGTCTGTATGGCCCATATTTTTCAGTACCCGCTGGTACTAGAATTTTATAATGAGCAAATGTTTGGATGCGGTAAAAAATGCTATCATTAAGACAAAAACACTCATCACCAATTAAATACAAACTGATGAATTGTATGACACATTTGGTTCGGATTTTAGCAGACCTTGAAGGGTTGCATCTGGATCTAGAGATTTACTGTACAATGAACGGTCCTGAATCGGAAGTGAATTTGGGAATTCATTGACAAGTTTGTTCTTGTTTCAGCTCGGCAGTGTTACTAGTGAAGTGTCATGAATAACTGTACTGAAACCTCAGTTACAAAAAGCTTGGTGACTGACAGACTGGATTTTTCGTCGTATCTAACGAAATTTAGTTATTAGCACTATATCAAACAAGCGGTTGGAACTAACATTGATGGACATATGGAAATAACAGCGTCAAAATGAGTGATAAAATGCTATATTAACACGGTAGGCCAAATGGCTTAGATTGTTGGAAAAAGTAACTAACCAAGTACATTTCAACCAAATTCGCCCCAGGGACGATAGAATTCAATTTTGTCATGACGGTACGATTGACCATGTTAGCCTTCTCACAACATTCACGGACGTAATTCCTACCAAACTTAATGGCGAGCTGCTGACCGACAATATCTAGCTCAGGAATCTCATTTTTAATTCGTGATTTGGACCATAGTATAGTCGCGATTGGTGTCTCAAGAGATGCATCTGGCAGCCTAAATTATGTAATACTAAGCATAGTGTCTCACTTTGCATCTTGAATTAGCCCGAATCGCGCGTTTAACGTCTCAAGATATGACTGTATAATGTCCATGGCTTCCACACAGTAGTCATCCCGAATGATTTGTTCGACTTTAATGCGAGCTCTGTCAACCTTTCCATCTTTCAAAAGGTCCGCGATTTCTCGACGAATTCCCTTTGATATTTCAGATTTCTTTTTTTGAACATATTCAAGTCGTTGAATACAAAGTCTGATATTCAACCTTAACTTTGTGTAATCACAGGTACTTGAGAACATCTTACGACGTGGTGCCTCGTGACCTACAACCGACTACCTTACAATCCAAAATCCTGCTTCCGTATGAACCTTTGAAGCATTTAAACAATTCTTTGTAGTCCAAGTGAGAAACAGATATAGGATTCTGATAACTAACTCACCAGTCATATTTATGGAAACCCACTTAATGTCGCAATGTTTTACTTGACATTTCAGTAATACATGTACCACCCTTCCATGTTTCATTTCACTTTCGAGTAGATGCGAGGCTTGGTGGCCTGTGTTAGTCCTGACAGTGGTGGTCTCTCAGCTGAATCAAATTTATTTCGAAGGAGTTGACAGATAGAGCCCTAATCATATATTGAAGTAGTTAATTCCACTTGTTGATCATTCGGTGAGCAGATCGATTTAATTTTTTCTTGGCTTGCGAAGTTTATCAGTGTCCTCATAAATTCTCAGTTCTTGAAAAATGAGCGTATGTCGGATGTAAATCTATCGCTAAGTAACTGACAAACTGCGGTTACACTGCCTCTGGTTCTTCCATAAGACAAGAGATATCGGTTTAGTTTGGACAGTCTTTCATTATACGAGATCTTTACGACCCCAGGAATCAGCTTAGTTGCAATTTTTGCATTTTCTCCAACAGCTCACTGTTTCTATCCAGACAGGAGCTAGCCTCTTGAATCCAGTACTGAAGTTCAGGATGAATAAACACTGTACACAAAGGCGAAACGGTTTTAGCGTCGGCATGACTGAAAGCTTTACTTATTGACAATAGGATTCTAGGACCTTTGCGACTATCACACGGCAGTGTGCGGTAGCTTCTAAGTCGTGGCTAAAGACGACCCCTAGTTCACTATGTGTCTGGACAATAGGTAGCTCACTGCTATTCACCGGGCATTTATCTGTACCTTGGTGACCAATATGCATCATAATTTACATACAGGAGAAACAACCCTGACCTCAAAACTGAACTTTGAGGCACTCTGCTAAGCACAGTTTTTCAGCTAGACAATTTCTAGCCAACCCGTGCTCTTTGTTGATGTTCGACTTGGAAGTTTTTTTACGCACTAATGAATTGCTTTCAATCCTGATATTACATAACTTAGATAATAATCGGATATGAAGAACTTTGTTAATGCCTCAATGGAGTCAATGTTGGCTACATTTGTAGGTGACTTTTGAACTTTAAGAGCGCATCAACTTTCACGGGCCACTAATAAGTTTGAGAGGCATAAATAAACTGTTCTAAAAGCATGCTGCTTTTCAGAACGAATCTAATTTTTGTCTAGATACTAAAACATTTCTTTTCGAATAGTTTTTTTATTCTAACAACCCCGCTGGTTGGGCCTACAGGTCGAGAGTTCTCCCATTTATGTCTCGTACTTATTCAAAGGGTAGGACTTACTGTGACGTTACTCCAGTCGTTTTGTAATCTGCCTTGAAGTGCAGATATATCGAAACATTCGTAGTAAAATTTGTCATTTCTTCCAGCACTTCAGGGTGCATGTCACCGAATCCCGTGGATTCGCCTATATCAAGCCCATTTAGTAGACTAAAGACATCAAGTTCTTTAATGTTCACAGTATCCAGAGTGTATGGGACAGGTTTGTCTGAATCGAAGGAGAGGGCATCTCTGTGTTGTGTACACTGCCAAAGTAATTTGAGGATACATGAACTTTACCGCAATCGTTCTCCAATAATCATGCAATGTACAAGTATAAGCACTTGGGGTATTCTAGAGACTCCTTACCAAGCTTTTCTTCGTATGACCTTTTAGATATGTGGAGGGTCGTGGTACAAATATTTTGAGCTTCCGATACTGGTATTTTGTTTCGTCACCACACAGTAGCCTAAATCTCTCACTTATTTTTTCCTTCTTACAGAGGAGGATGCAGACCTCCTTACAGAACAGCGAAGGGAAATTTCTCGAACACCTTGGTGTAGTTCGAGGGGTTTGAGGTGTAGTAACTATTATGTACAAATTTCTAGGCACTTTCCGAGTACTGTCAATAGGGTATCCGATTCTGTTGTCTAATGTACTAAGGATGCTGAATGGATATTTTCTAGTATATTTGCTTTCAGGATCTTCGGTCTGGCTGACAAATCGTTGCTGACAATGATATGCAAGTGAAAGACATGGATCAGTGTGAGATCTAGTAGAGACGATTCAGAGTTTGGGTCGTAACTAGCCGCTTATTTCATATGTCGCACTGTGGTGTATGCTAATTATGTTGATAGATATAGATAGTACGTAACACCAATCGGAAGTAGAAGACTGAGAAGATTCAAATGAAAAGAACAGAGAAGGAGACAGAAGGCAATTTCAATAACAACGTAAAAGAAAAAATCAGTAGTTAACGGAAATAAAACGCTGAAAATCCCTCAGCAGTATTCCGTTGGACAGTACTGTTATTTATTTGTTTCTTGTCCCTGTCATGTATTTTAGTCTTTATTCAGATCACACTTTGTGTCCTTCAGTTTTCCTCGTCTGGGTTTTTATTATGTGGCTTTGATAAAAGACTCAATTTTTCAATGCATGTTGCCGGACTATTCACAATAAGGTCGTGTTTAACTAAGCTCAGTGGGTGTGACTGTATGCATGTGAAGATTGTTGGAATCCCTGCAGATAGATATCTGATCCCATTGTGTTGGGAATATTTTTATTGATTCTCAGGTATTGAACTCTTTTGTATTAACTGTTTCTTTTATTGTTTAGCACGCTAATTTGTGTTAAAGAAACCTCTGACTATATAGCACAGGCTGTGCCGTCTGAGGTATTTTGTATTTTTGATATAATTTGTTCTATTTCTGAAATTAAAACCATTTAAATTTAGCACAAAGTTGGTGTTTTGATATAATTTAATACAAGTAACTCAAAAATGCTTCGTACGCTATACAGAAAAACGTAGTCTGTCGTGATCGAATAAAATTTGGTTAGTTAGTTCTGCGTTCAGACCGAATATTAGCATTTTGGTTGTTACACAGTGAATTCGTATAATACAGCTGGTGGAAGATATGCAGATGTTGTATTTACTAAACTACTGTGATTGTGTAGCAAGCAATGAGTTGATTTTCCCCACCTCAGTGTTAATTTACTACATTTGGTGTCGCTGCAAAAGGGGATGCGATGAGGATGCAATTCTGCGGACGCTTTCAACAGGGTTACTACAGAGATACATTGAGACATTAGCTGGTTGAGTAGATCTTATATCAAATCAATGGAATGCACCAAGCGACTTCTGAGTTCCTAATCTCATTAACGGACGACTGTGATTAGCCCTCGATGTTTCAGTTGTTGTTTGGGGGACTGGCCTTTCTTCAGCAACATTAAGTCGGTTATTATCTTTGATTTGTACACATCCATCAACTTTCATTACGAGAGAATCACAGTCGTGCCACAAACAATGTGAGATCCTAGATGAGTGTCGAGAAATTGAGTGATCAGGTCGTTGTTGTTCCTGCCAGAAACAGACCTAGTCTTACAGTAGGGTTTTCCAGACGTTTCCTGCTCATTGGCATTTGAAGGGCGGGGGGAGTCCTGAGCTTTTATTTCTGACGAAGCCCCTTGAAATCAGTATTTCTTCCTTTGCTCCATGTAAGTCAGTTGACTCGAGGCTTGTTTAGGATAACCTCACACTGGTTCGTTTATCGACAGAGCAAGTACCATTTGGTCCATCTCGATTACGCTTGTAAGTACTTTTTATACCACCCCTCACCATTGCAACGGCTTCAGCTAACCAGAAAAAGTAAAAAACAGTCAGGTCTAAAATGCAACAAATAAAGCCAGTGTACAGATAACAGATTACCTTCGAATGAACGATAATCTTTGTAATTAGAAGACGAAGATTATCAGAGCTATGTGATATATTAGCGCAATACATTTCGAACAATCTGATCACACATATACTTGTTAAGAGCATTTATATGTAAAAAATAAAAGGTCAACTAAACTGGAAACGGGGTAAGAGGAGATTCGAACGGTTCAAATGGTTGTGGACGGAATAGAAGAAGCTTTCGCTTAACAGGCTTCCGTGTCTAGTATCAGGGGATCACCAAATCCTCCAGGCAGGAACCTAGTTATGTTAACAATAAAAGAGGAAAAGAATTTAGTAAATCATAGTGTGATACTATCCTTATTCCTTAAGAATAGATCAAGTTGCCTCCTAAAGGACTCCTGGAAAGTCGCTTGGACTAGCTCGGCCGGCAGCGCATTCCAGCATTTGACAACTCTTAAAGAGTAGAAGTTGTGTCTACAGTTTTTGGGTGTTACCTCTTAGGTTAGTGTTGAAACTAAGCTTAATTAGGTGTTTGAGAGTATGTCCAGAAGTGTTAAGGATACTATAAGCCATCAGGTCACCTCTAAGACGTCTATACTTTAATGAGTAAAGGTTAAGTGAATGGAGGCGCTCTTCGTAAGGTTTAAATTTGAGTCCTCGAACTGATTTCGTGGCTCGCCGTTGGATACGCTCCAGGGTGTCCTTATCCTTTTGGAATGAGGGGGAAATACTATGTTTCCGTACTCTAAATGGGGACGGACAAAACTATTGAAGATTACATGGAAAATTCTTCCATCAAACTGGCCAAAAATGCTCTTCAATGTTACCAGTGCAAGGTTTGCTTGGAAGGTATCTTTGTCACAGTTAGCGTAAGACCTTAAATCGCAGGGCATCAGGACTCCTAAATCTTTTTCCACTTGGGATACCACTAGAGAGGAGTTACCTAAGTTATAACTGTAGTCTGCGACATGTCGCAGATGGAGTGCTTTACACTTTGAAGTGTTAAAGGTAAGTCCATTATTGTCTGCCCAACTTTGAAGTCGAGTCAGATCCTCCTGAAGTGCCTGTGTATCGTCTTGGTTGCGTATCTCTCTCCAAAGTTTCACGTCGTCGGCAAAATGTAGTAAGTCTGACGTTACCTGTTGAGGAAGATTTTTTATGTAGATCAAGAAGAGAGGAGGTCCTAGAACTGAGCCCTGGGGGACCCCACTAGGACATTCCATAGCCTGAGATAAAGTGAAA